AGAAGAACACCCCCAGTACCTTTATCCCCTCTGTTTGTAGACTCAATTCCGGCGGCCGACCCTCGAAAAGCCTCGAGTCTCCATAAACCATCAGCTCACTTTTCTCCACACTAACCTTCAATCCGGAGGCCGCGCAGAACCTCCATCCCCTCCATACCGATGCTACGTCCCTGCATAGCACGGCCACATCGTCCATGTACAGGGTCACCTTTCCTTGCTCCCCGGTATTACCACCCCCCTAATCCTCTGGTCATTCCGTATCATCTGCGCCAGAGGCTCCATGCACATGACAAATAGTACTGGGGACATCGGGCATCCCTGCCGCACCCCGGAACCCACTGGAATGATCCCAGAGCGTTCCCCAATTATCAGGAGCCTGGCTCTGAGCCCCCCATAAAGTCGCTCCACCCACTCCACCAGGGGCCCACACACCCCCATCCTCTCCATCACCGCCAGCATGAATTCATGAGAGAGGCGGTCGAAGGCCTTGTCCAGGTCCAGACTTAGGATCCCCAACGGGCACCCCCTCTCTCTCTCGCCTTCAATCGCCTCCCTCAAAACCACCAAAGTGTCCGCGATCCTCCTCCCCGGGACCGCACACGTCTGGTCCGGCCCCACCACCTCACCCACCACCTTCCCCAGTCGCCCCGCGACTACCCTTGCCAAGATCTTGTAATCCGCATTCAGTAGGGTTATTGGCCTCCAACTTCCCAGGTCCCTACGGTCTCCCTTCCCTTTATAAATCAATGTGACCAGGCCCTCCCGCATGTCGTCCGGCACCCGCCCCTCCTCCAGAGTTTCCCTACAAATTTGCATAATATCCTCTTTTAGGAGTTCCCAGAATTTTATACAGAAGTCCGCTGGGATCCCGTCCGGGCCTGGGGTCCTGTTCTTGTTCAGCCCCTTCACCGCCCCTTCCACTTCTTCCCATCGAATTCTTTCCTCTAGCGCCTCCGGGTTCTCAACCCTCTTCCCCAATGCCCCCAGCAGCTCCTCCTGCCGCCCCCCATCTATCCCTTTCCTCTTATACAAATCCCCATAAAAGTCTTCCGCTACACTAATCATCCCTTCCGTCGTCACCTGTCTACCCCTAGTAGGACTAACCAGCTCCCTCATTTCATTGTCTCCCTCCCTACCCGCCTTAAAGAAAAATCTCGTGCACTGTTCCCTATCCTCTGTTGCCCTGACCCTCGCCCTATACATTAATTGCCTAGTCCTCTTTTCCAGGACTGAGGCTACCCTCCCTTTCAACTCCTCTATCCTTTCTCCCACCGGGAACCCTAGCTCTAGCAGTCTATACAGCCTTTCTAACCTAGCGTTCCACTGTCTCAATTCCCTACCCACCTCCTTCCTCCTACTATAACGCTGAAAGAACGTTCTTATCCTACCCTTTATCTGCCCCCACCACTCCACCCTCGTGGGGAAGCACACCTGCAGCGTCCTCCAGCTGGCACGCGCTCGCGTGAAGTCCTCCGCCACCTCCTGATCCACCAGCAAGCCCACATTCATCTTCCACACACCCTTCCCCCTCTTCACCCCACCTGGGATCACAAGCCCCGCCACCACCATTCTGTGATCCGAGAGGGGAAAAGGTTCCACCCCCGCACTTCCCACATTCACCTTGTCGGAGACGAAAATAAAGTCGATACGTGACTGTGTGCCCCCACTCTTATCCGCCCACGTGAACCCTGGCCGCGTGCCATGCACCCTCCTGAACGTATCCACCATCCCAAAGTCCTCCATCAACTCCAGTTTCCTGGAAGAGGAATCTAACTTCCTCCTCCTCCCCTTTACCGACACCAGATCTGCCAGACACAACGGGCAGTTAAAATCGCCCCCCCACAATGACCTGCCTCCTGGTGGCCAGTAGGCCCGCCAGGCTCTCCCACACCTCCGTCCTGTCCATACATCGTACCGGGGCATACACATTTATCAGCCGTAGCTCCACACCCTGGTAAGATGCATCTACACAGAGGAGCCGACCCGGTATTATTTCCTGGGTCCCTTCCACTCTCATTCCCCTTCTTCCTAGGAGGGTAACCACGCATGTACATCTGTTCCCGTTGCTGCCAGACCAAATGTAGTGTCCATTCCATTCATCCAGCAGAGCCTCCGACCCTAGGGTATAGGGTAGGTGACATTCTTGGAGGAAAATTACGTCACATCTGGTGATCTGCAGCCACTGCATGATTGCCCCTCTCCTTCCCTTCCCCTTCATTCCTCTAACATTAACAGATGCTACAGATATGTCCATGCCGAGGCGTGCTTTATTCCGTGTCGGACTCCGGTGCGCGCTCCCCCCGTCTGCCTTTGTCCGCCTTCTCCTTCACCTTTTTTCTCCCCTTCAACCTCCGGGGCTTCCCCCGGTTCAAACGTCCCCCCCCCTTCCGCCCACCTCCACCCAGATTCCCCCGAATCCGGCGAGGATCCTGAAAGGCTCGCATCTTGCTGGGGACTAGCTTCTTTCAGAACTCTATCCAGCTTCCGTTTTCTGCCCCCCGATTCCTCCCATGCGTCATCCGCTTCTTCCTCCACCCGCTGCCCCTCCTCGCCCTCCTCCTCGCCCATCACCTCCGCCCAGTCCCCCACTGGGGTTTCCGAGTCCTCTTCTCCATCTCCCCTCCCCTCCTCCCCCCCTCCCCCTCCAGTGGTGGTGGTGCTCCCTCCCCCACAGATCCCCCCCCCCCCCCACCCTCCCCAGGGGGTCGTGGTTCCTCCACCTCCCCTTTCCCTTCCCCTCCATGCATCCGGCCTGCTTCCCGTCCGGCCACCTCCTCCGCCGCCTCCTCTACCTGTCCACTCCGACATGCCCGCACCCTGTTAGCATAGGACTCTGGGCAGGTCTTATACAGATGCCCTCTGCTGCCGCGCAAGTTGCAAAGGGCCGGCTCCCCACATTCCTCCACCGTGTGGTCCAGCGCCCTGCACCTGTAACAAACGCATGCCACGCATGCTGCCGCCAGGTGCCCCCCTCCCCCACACCTCCTACACAGTTTGGGCTGTCCCGCATAGACAACATAGCCCCTGTTCCCCCCAATGTTCAATGCGCTCATAACGTGCCTCAGTGCCCCCCTCTCTGTCTTCAGACGCACCCTCCATTGTCTGGCCCCCGTCCATATCCCCGCCGCATCCAGCACCCTCTTGCAACCCGACAGCACCACACAATGCTGCCTCAGCCACACCTCCACGTCCTGATCATACAATGCTTCATTATAAAGGAACACGGTCACAACCTTTGGCTCCAGGTCCGACAGTAACCGCGTCCTCATGAAGGTTAGCGGCTTCTCCCCTGCCTTCTCCTCGAAACGGGCAAGGAAATTTTGCAGCAGAATGTTGGAGTTGAAGGTCACATCAAACGCCCGCCCCCCCAATCAAGCAATAGAGGTCCTCCACCTCCACCCGCAGCATCCCAAGCACCACCGACCTCACGAAGGTCGTCCTGTCCAGGGTCACTCCCTCTTCCACATCTTCCTTGAATTCGACTCGCACGCAGTTGTGCCTCCTGGCCTGCATCGGGGTCAGGCCCGCCCCAGCTCCACTGTGCCACCTCGCCGCTCCTCCGCCGGGCCTCCCCGCACCCACCGGGCCAGCGCCCACGGTATTCTCCCTCCACTACTCCTCCCCCGGCCCCTGGGCTGCAGGCGCCTCTCCTGCCCCTTCCTCCCCATTCTGGTCGGGGGCACTCTCACCCCATCCTCCCGGCGCTCCCCCTCGTTCTCCTTCCCGCTCCTCCCTCCCCACACTCTCCAGCCCATCCACCCCCTCCACTCTCTTCCCTCGTTGCGCCTCACCCAACATCACCCCCGCACCAGACGGGCTCGCGCCGCTCCTCCGGTTGCTCGCAGCACCCCGGGCGTCTTCCTTGGTCCGCGACGTGCGCCGCGACTCCGTCTCCATCCCCGCCATCTCCACGTGGCCGCTGCAGCGGGGTCACTCCTCCCGCGGCGCCTGTGGCTCCCCCATCCTCCGGCAGCAAGGCCACCCCAGACCCCCGGCCTGGGGCCCTCGCACACCCCGGGGTGGCTGGAGAACCCACGAGACACCGACGAGCGCTGCAGTAGTGCGTCAGGAAGAACAGGAACAGGAACGCGTTTCGCTGGTAATTACTCCAGCAGCATCGGGCAATTCGCCAGAATGGTAAAGCCCTCACTTGCTCTCGGTCTTAAATAGAGCAGCAGGGTGACGTCATAATTTAACTCAATTCAGGTGCAATGATTTCAGGCGGAGGGGGGGTATTGTAATTATATAATCGATTGGTAATCAGTCAATGCTTAGGATTAGTAATGAGTTGTAGATTAGTAAGTAGTTGTAATGTGTCATTGTGATTATATGCTACATTAGTAATCCGTTAATTAATATGTGTTTCCCCTATAAGGAATTGTAATATGTATTATTTAATAATACCCTTCCAAGCCACACTAAGCCTATAGCTATCAGAACGATTAAAGTTATTTCTGTTTCAATTTCAATGGATTCTCTCATTAGTCTTTGCCAGTAATAATTAGTTTTACACAACACTTCAACGTTATCAAAATCAATTGAGTATATTGATATTAATTAACGGATTACTAATGTAGCATATAATCACAATAACACACATTACAACTAATTACGAATCTATAACTCATTACTAATCATAACCATTGACTGATTACCAATCGATTATATAATTGCAATACCCTCCCCCCTCCGACTCAAATCACTGCACCTGAAATGAGTTAAATGATGGCGTCACCCTGCTGCTCTATTTAAGACCGAGAGCAAGTGAGGGCTTTACCATTCTGGCGAATTGCCTGATGAGGCTGGAGGTAATCACCAGCGGAACCCGTTCTTCCTGAGGTGCCACTGCGGCACACGTCGGCATCCCGTGGACTCTCCAGCCACCCCGGGGTTTGCAAGGCCACCCCAGACCAGGCGGTCTGGGGTGTCCTTGCGGCCGGAGGGTAGGGGAGCCACACGCGCTGCGGGAGGGGTGATCTCACCGCAACGAGCGCATGGAGATGGCGGGGAAGGAGATGGAGACGCAGCGTACGCCACGGACTATGGAGGGTGCCCGCGAGGCCGAGAGTGACCGGAGGGATGGCGCGGGCCCGTCTGGAGCAGGGGAGGTGATGGGTGAGGTGCAGCGAGGGAAGGGTGTGGAGATGGTGGATGGGCCGGAGGGAACGGGGAGGGAGGAGCGAAGAAGACGAGGGGAAGCGCCGGGAGGATGGGGAGGGAGTGCCCCCGAGCAGAGTACGGGGGAAGGAGCAGGAGGGTTGCCAGCAAGCCAGGGGCCGCGGGAGGGACAGTGGAGGGAGAGGACAGCGAACGCTGGCCCGGTGGGAGCGGGGAGACCCAGCGGAGGAGCGGGGAGGTGGCGCAGTGGAGCCGGGGCGGGCTTGACGCCAACGCACGCCAGGAGGCACAACTGCGTAAGGGTGGAATTCAAGGACAACGTGGAAGAGGAGGTGACTCTGGATAGAACAACTTTTGTGAGGACGGTGATGCTCGGGATACTGCGGGTGGAAGTGGCGGATCTCTACTGCCTGATTGCTCTGCCAGGGGGGAGAGCGTTTGACGTGAGCTTTAATTCAAATCTCCAGCTGCAGAATTTTCTCACCCGCTTCGAGGAGAGGGCAGGGGAGAAGCCCCTGACATCCATGAGGACGCGGCTGCTGTCAGACCTGGAAACGAAGGTTGTAACCGTCTTCCTGTACAACGAGGCGCTACATGACCAGGATGTGGAGGTGTGGCTGAGGCAGCACTGCGTGTTGTTGTCTGGCTGCAAGAGGGTGCAGGACACGGCGGGGATACGGACGGGGGCCAGGCAGTGGAGGGTGCACCTGAAGACGGAGGGGGGGTGGCTCTGAGGCATATCCCGAGCGCCTTGAACATATGGGGGAACAAGGGGTACGTCGTATACGTGGGCCAGCCCAAACTGTGTAGGAGTTGTGGGGGAAGGGGGCACCTGGCGGCAGCGTGCGAGGCACGGGTCTGTTACAGGTGCAAGGCGCCGGACCACACGGTGGAGGAATGTGGGGAGCCGGTCCGATGCAACCTCTGTGGCAGCAGAGGGCACCTGTATAGATCCTGCCCGGAATCATATGCCAACAGGGTGCGGGCATACCGGAGTGGACAGGTAGGGGAGGTGGTGGAGGAGGCGGCCGGATGGGAATCAGGCCGGGAGCTTGGTGGGGAAGAGGAAGGAGAGGCGGCGGAACCACGACTCCCCGGGGAGGGTGAGGGGGGGGATCAGTGGGGAGGGAAGCAATACCACCACTGGACTGGGAGCAGGGGGAGGAGGGGAGGGGAGACGGGGGAGAAGACCCAGGAACCCCAGTGGGGGACTGGGCGGAGGTAATGGGCGAGGGGGAGCAGCGATTGAAGGAAGGAGCTGACGGGGCATGGGAGGAAACGGTTGGGAGGAAGAGGAAATTGAACAGAGCCCTAAAAGGGGCTGACCCCCAGCACGGCACGGGCCCTTCAGGCTCCTTGCCAGACACAGAGGAGTCTGGATGGAGGAGGGCGGAAGGGGGGGGACGTTTGAACCAGGGGAAGCCCCGGAGGTTGAAGGGGAGGAAGAAAGTGAGAGAGAAGGCGGACAAGGGCGGATGGCGGGGAGTGCGCAGCGGAATCGGAAACAGAATAAAGCACACTTCGGCATGGACATTTCCGTGGCGTCTATAAACGTGAGAGGGATGAAGGGGAAGGGAAGGAGAGGGGCAATCATGCACCTGTTGGAGACCACCAGAAGAGATGTGATCTTCCTTCAAGAATGCCACCTACCATATACCCTGGGTTCGGAGGCCCTGCTGGAAGATTGGAACGGCCACTACGTTTGGTCGGGTAGCAATGGGAACCGATGTACCGGTGTGGTTACCCTCCTAGGCAGGAGGGAAATGAGGGTGGAAGGGACCCAGGAAGTGATACCGGGCCGGCTTCTCTGTGTGGATGTATCCTACCAAGGCGTGGGTTTTCGGCTGATAAACGTGTACGCCTCGGTACGATGCATGGAAAGGATATAGGTGTGGGAGAGCTTGGCGGCCCTATTGACCACCTGGAGACAAGTCATCGTGGGGGGTGATTTCAACTGCCCGCTATACTTGGCGGACCTGGTGTCGGCAAAGGGGAGGAGGAAATTAGACTCTTTCTCCAGAAAACTGAAAGAGCTGATGGAGGATCTTGGTATGGTAGATGCATTCAGGAAGGTGCATGGTGCACGGCCCAGGTATACGTGGTCAGATAAGAGCGGGGGAACGCAGTCACGGATTAACTTTATTTTCGTCTCTGCCAAAGTAGAAGTGGCAAGTGCGGAGGTGGAGCCATTTCCCCTCTCTGACCACAAAATGGTCGTGGCAGGGCTCGCGATCCCAGGTAGGGCGAGGAGAAGGAAAGGAGTATGGAAAATGAATGTGGCCTGTTGGAGGACCAGAAAGTGGTGGGGGACTTCGTACAAAAATACAAAAGCTGAAGGACCTTGCAGGACTGTTTCCCCACGAGGGTGGAATGGTGGGGCCAGATAAAGGACAGGATAAAAACGCTCTTCCAGCACCATAGTAGGAGGAAGGGAGTGGGTAGGGAATTGAGGCAGTGGAATGCCAGGCTAGAGAAAATGTACAGGCTGCTAGAGCTAGGGTTCCCGATGGGGGAAAGGATAGGGGAGTTGAAAGGGAGGGGAGCTTCAGTTTTGGAAAGAAGGGCTAGGCAGTTAGTGTACAGGGCAAGGGTCAGGGCAACGGAGGAAGGGGAGAGGTGCACAACGTTTTTCTTCAAAACAGGTAGGGTGGGAGATAACGCAATGAGGGAATTGGTAAGTCCTACCAGGGTTAGACAGACGACGACGGTAG